TACCATGCCCTGTGGTTCCCCTGTGCTGCTAACTACTTGATTTGACATCTGACACTTTTGTCTGTTTGTGAGGTAGTCTTTCATGGAAGAGACAGCATACATTTTCTGTTCCTCTCTGTTTTTGCAGAGGTAGTTGTTGCGTTGTTGCAGCTTTGTAGGTGTTACTGAGCTGCTATGGCTGCTGTGGATAATCCTCATAACAAGCATACAAAAAGGACAAAAATATCAGAAAACATTCTGATATTGCAGAGAAATAACATTTTCTTAAACATAGAACTTTAGAGTTAAGCTAACAGATCTACTCCAACATGGCGCCACATTAAAGGTCAAATGGAAAGTTTTATGGTGTGTGATGGTGGATTATCCTTTCTTTTCTCTATGTGGCTGGTCTAAATTATGCTAAAATGCCCCAGGTAATAAAATCAAGAGAATTTTACAGTATGCTGGGCGGCTCGAGCGATCCCCCGCTGTGACGTCATCGCAGTCAAACTTTCTCTCACAGCATCAGTTGGATTCAAGGTACCAAAGTTGCAACGGCTTGTTTTCTCTGTTGCATAGCTTTAATAAAGTGCCTGATGCAAATAAAGCTGATTCACAGCATTTTTAATTTTTTATGAAATAACTTATTTCATAAAACAACTAACTAGGAGCTCCAGACAGATTTGTCTGAACAACTAGAATCACGATGGGTAACAGTCAGTTGCTGCAGTCGGAGACCCACAGCTCGAACCCCACCGGCTTGGTGGGTAAAAACCACATCTGAAGGGCAATGTTTCCCACCAGGACAGCAGAAAGGATCCGGTGCTTGGACCACTCGCTGCGATCGGATTACCGAGGGACCACCTTCCCTTTCCAGGTTCAGCAGCGTTACACAGCCTGCTATCCAGGACCGTCGCACCACACACAGGGCTCTAACACTGACGGCCAGCCTTCACGCCTGGCCGCAGGGGAACGCAGCCAACCGAACCGATCCCAGCCACCAGAGAACCAATCCGAATCTGTGATCCACTCACAAAATGTTCTGCAAGATAATGAACCGGCTCTGCATAAGTTCAAAGAACAGCAGCGGTGTGTCATGATTTTATCTAAGGCTCTGACCCACATGCAGTGAAACCAAACAGAGAGACACAGATGGAAAGTTTTATGGATTTTATTGAAGATGTTAAGCTCGGTGCAAAGTTGCTCTGAACTCTGCTCAGTCAGAACTGGAAGATGAGGGGAAGACAGACTGTAAGTTCAGGCTCAGTGGGAAATTTGATTTGTTGATTTGAAGCAGAGGATCTGGTTGTTGACTCACGTTTCCAGAGAAGTGAAGGATCTTTGTCTCCAATGTGTGTGTTGGTTTTCCAGAGTTTGTCTGACTCTGTGGAGGGCGGAACAGGGTTTACCCAGAACTCGGACGGTGTAGGGGAACGGGGACGCTGCTTGCCACTCAGATTTCCTGCTGTACTTGAATGGGTCGTGGTGAAGATGATTCCCTTGCTCAGAGAGTAATTTCAATGTCCTCAAAGGAGACTGGATCCAAACCTCCTGTATGAATCTCCGGCTCAGTTTAGACTCAGTTGATCCTTCCTGGGAGAGAAGGTCCGAAAAGGTCCAGTTTGCAGGATGACTTCCTGCTGAGAGGCAAAGACAAAAACAAAGTTAAAACTCAGGGAGACAAGAACTCAGTCTGACTCAGAGAAAACTCAGCTTGGCTAGAGTACCCAAAACTGGCAAACACTCTGGCGTCGAGGTAGAGGCAATCAGCAGGTTAAGAGCACTCCGTCAGCAGGTGTGTGAGGAGGCGAACTGGAATCAGGCGCCTCCTGCTGGTGGAAGGGAGACAAACACAAAAACAAACACACAGACTGGAGCCCTGACACGGTGATTAAAGCAACGCATTCAAAAAACCACAAAGACTCTGATTGCTTCTTATTTGTCCTTGTTAAGGGATAAAATCTCTATCATAAATGTGAATTAATATTGACTTGCTATGTAAAATGATTACTTCCTGACTAAAGTGATGTCATGGCATCCCTCAGTGGGTCATGTGACCGAATGAGGAATTTAGCATTGTGTTCTATATCTTATTTAGTTATTTTATGCTATAAACAACAAAATGCTGGACTTTTTTTCACTTATGATGTGTTTAATTTTGTACATACTATCAAATTGAAAATATAAGTATATGTTTAGTATTTGAACTTTAAGCAGCACAAGTCCTGAATCACAGATCATCCCAGGTGTTTTCAATTTTATCAGTGGGTCAATATATAGAGCTACAGGCAGTCGTGCTGTTTGGTGACATTGTATTTACCACACTCAACATACACCATTGTGTATCTTTCTTTCATTAAGCCAGGGTTACAAATTACATTTTTGTGTCTTTATGCTCTTAAATATCAATGTAGATAGTTATTGGTGGATTGCAGAGGTGAAAATCTGTCAAAGATTATCCAACATGAGCTATGGAGGTGTACCTCTCTGATTCATGCTACGTTTCACTGTAGCATGACGTACAGCCCCCCCTCTGCTGTCCATCAGATTTATAGGTTGAATCTACTTGTGACGGATGACGGAGAAAAAACATGTCGATCTTTGAAAAGCAAATGAGCCTCGCAGGAAATCAGACATGGGGAGAGTAAAGCGGATCCAGTACATTTCGAAATAAGAGGCGATGCACGGATCAGTCCCACACACATCAAGTGATGACTGCTCCACGGCAGGTTTTGGTGGCTGATGATGGATAGGACACACAAAGGGGGATATTTGTAAAAATATCTTCAGACCAGATACAGAACTGCAAAATATTTTGAATAGGATGTTTTCTTCTCCTTTCTTTCCACTATTTTGTTTGCATGTGGGTCATTTTCCACAGTGGTTCAACTCACTGAGGAAGGTGGTTGTAAGCAAATCAAATGTGCCCAACATATAAAGATCGTTTGAAGGACTTCTTACATTGCAGCAGGTGACAATATTGGTTGGCAGCTGCTTGCTGAACACTGAGGTCATCTGAAATTGTGTAAAGATATTCCCGGTCCTCCACCTCCCCCCATTGTCTTTGGTAGCCTGGCCTCTTTTCTTCCATCCCTGTTCCTTTCCACTTCCCCCAGCGTCCTCTCCTGTGCACCCACCTCCTCCCTCTGACCTTGTTATATCATGTCTCTTTGGTAAATATAAATGTATAATAGTGGCAGAAGCACAGAGTGTTTTAATGAAACCCTGTGAGTGTGTGTGTAAATGTCACACCCCAGGGCATGGCTTTGTCTTCACATCCTGTTGAGGCTGTGTTTGAGAAAGATAACAGGACAACCCAGGGCAGCTCTCTAATTGGCCTGCGTTCCCGCCCAGAACGCTCACTCTCCTCTTCTATATATATGTCTGCTGGCCTGCAGCTATAAGGTTGCTGCAGCATGAATTTAAAGCAGATGCTGACAGATGGGGCGGGAGGTGGGGTCTCAGAGGTGACGCATGGGGTTAAACAGTGATTCTGTCTCTAACATGAGATATCAGACTGAACAGGTGCATCCAGCTTGTGTCAGACATAAAGCATTGTCCTGTTTTCAGTTCTTTGATGTGAACGTGATGGCGAGGAAAACATGTTGAGCCGCTGTTCAGCTGTCTGTCGCTAGTCGTCAGACAATATGCTTTTTGTCTGCTCATCTGGAATTTATTACATTATTTTTTCAGCCACAAACTTCTTTAAATTTAAGGTTTTTTAACTAGACTTAACTATTTGTTTCCCCCGTTGTCAAATAAAGTATTCTTTGCTCAGCCACCACTGCCCGGCACCTTTTTTCCTTGGTGCTATATTTGTGAGCAAACTGCCTTGTGCTTTTCAGTAGGAACGAAAAACCAGATGCTGATGTGCAGACAATGAGAAGGTAAAATGTTCACCATTAATTTGTAGTGTGTGATGGTACTTGGGTAAAATTAAATGTTAAGTACTGCCATTATAGGTGTATAAAAGAAGAGATTGGTGAGTCCACACTCCAGCTAAGAGGGTTCCGGTTTCCTATCGTCCTCAGAACCCACTGTACATATTTTAGGTGTCCCCTTATATCTGACTGTTAAAAATCAACAACTAACATCCTCTGTAGAGGAGGTATTGCTTGCCTTTAATTCAATCTTCAATCTCTGAGCTTTAATTTACATATACAGAGGGTGTTTTCATCATTGCAGATTCAGATCAGTGAAGCAGAACCACAAACAGAAAAACCAGGAACTTTTCCAAGATGCCAAGAATACCAGGAGGATGTGGCAAGACATACAGACCACTTGGCTGCTAGACTTCCTCGCAGACAGACCTCAGTCAGTCCGGATTGGACAGAATGCCTCTGATGTCATCAGTCTAAGCCCCTCCCCTCAGGGCTGCATCCTGAGCCCCCTGCTGTTCACCCTGATGACGCACGACTGAGTCCCCAGGTTCACCACCAATCACATGGTGAAGTTTGCTGACGACACCACGGTGGTGAACCTCATCAGAGACGACAACGACCTGGACTACAGAGAGGAGGTGGAGCAGCTGGTGGAGCAGAGATAACAGCCTGATCCTGAAGGTGGAGAAGACCAAGGAGATCATGGTGGACTTCAGGAAGAACCGGCCTAACTACGATCCACTGCTCATCAACAGCTCAGCTGTCCAGGTGG